CCCGCCCCCGCCAAGCCGGCTTCCGCCGTAGCCGCCGCCGCCGTCGCCTCCGCCACCATCCCCGCCGCCGCCCAGCCTTCCGCCACCATCACCACCACGGCCCAGCCCTCCGCCCCCAAGCCCGCCCCCGCCATCGCCGCCGCCTCCCTCGCCACCGCCGCCCTCGCCGCCACCCCCGTCACCACCGCCTCCGAGCCCGCCCCCGCCCTCGCCTCCGCCGCCCTCGCCACCACCCCCGTCTCCGCCACCGCCGAGCCCTCCCCCGCCCTCTCCCCCTCCGCCCTCACCGCCGCCGCCCTCGCCGCCGCCGCCCTCGCCGCCGCCACCGAGCCCGCCGCCACCGTCACCCCCGCCCCCGTCGCCGCCACTTCCCTCACCGCCATTGCCCAGCCCGCCGCCGCCATCTCCCCCACCGCCCTCACCGCCACGCTGCCAGCGCAGCCGCCGGGCGACGCGACAGCGGCTAGCGGCCGGGAGAGCCTCTCCAGTGCGGGCTGGGGGCGGTGGCGGCACTCTGCGGGTGGCGGGCGAGCTGCTGGCTGGCCGGCGGCGCGTCTCGACTCAAATTATGGGCCGCCTCTCGGGCGTGCGGCCAGGGGCCCGTGTGGCGCGAGGAGAGGGCGGCGCGCTCGGCGCGCTGGCGGCGGTGAAGCCTCTCAGAGTGGGCGCTGGCTGGCTGAGGGCGTCGGGCGGGTGTGGGGTGGCACTCGGGCCGCCGGACGGGCCGTGATGGCCCGTGTGGCGTTCGTGAGGGATTGTTTGGGCGCCCTGGCAGCCTCCCCGCCTGCGTGACCAGGGCCGGTTTGGCAGCGGTTTGGGCTGTGTGTGGGCTGGTCGCGGTAGGGGATATAGGGCTTGTTTATGGTCCCACTCACCACTCCCGGCCAACGGGGCCTCGCGGCACGCGGGGCGTCCTCGTTTGCAGTAAAAGGCCTCTGCCATCGCTCAGAGTCCCAATCCATGTGATCATCCGCGCCGCCGCGCCCGAGTAGTCCCCAGATGCGACGTCGTCGGGGAGGGCGTCGTCGCGGGCGCCAACGTCGTCATCCGAGCCCCTACGGCTGTCCAAGGGCACGTCTGGGTGACCAGGGGCGGGGGCCGAGCCGTGAGTGCTCCGCCGGGGCGAGCTTCTGGGTCCATGGGACCGCTGCCGGACCCATCCGAGAGCCTCTCCGGACACGTTCGCTCGATGGCCTAGTTGGCGGCCGATATTCGACGACCAAAGCTCCGGGCGCCGCGGCCAGAGGTCCGCCCACGGCCCCAGGACTCGTGGTGGGTGTGGGGTGTGCCTCACGAGGCGGAGAGGCCGCGTGAACGCCCGTAGAAGCTCGCGAAGTGCGGATTTGGAGCGCCGCGCCGGACCTCCGCCGGGGCCCGCCGGGGCGTCGTATGGGCCTCGGGGTGCCCGAGAAGCTTAGAGGTGCGGTTTTTTTTGCTTGTGGTCTATCGGTTCATGTCATGGACCGGCCCTGGGAAGCCTTTGACCGCGCGCGGAGGGTGTTACGGGGCCGTGATGATTTAGCGGGAGGGAAATCGGCTGGTTTGCCCAGTGTGATATAAATCTCCCTGGGAGATTTCGATAAAACCACTCCGATATAACAGATATCTCGCACGCAGTACCGTGCAGAGAGTCCGGCCCGACGCACAAACCCATAAAAACATTCGCGCTCACGGACCACCGCGTGATCATACACCAGCACTCCCGCTCAGCCGGAGCGCCGCCCACAGCCTCTCCAGCCACCCGTCGATCTCAGTGTTGCCTGTGCGGTCGTCGGCCTCGCCGCGCCTGCAGAAGCGCGTGCCGCCGAGGTGCTTGAGCCACGAATCTACCTTCTCAGCCGCCTGGTTGCAGTCGCGAGCTCCAAAGCAGTCCACGCGCCGCCACGCGACGGCGAGGAGGTTCGAGTCGCCAAGGCCGAGTACCGCGAACTGAAGCCCGTCCAGCGTCTTGGGGCCGTGCGATTTGCGTCGGAGGAAACGGAGGCAAGCTGCTGAAGCTGGGCACGGCTGCTCGTCCTCGACCGTGGTGATCAAAAGCAAGGCGGGTGAGGACTGCGCCGGCCCGCCGCTGAAGGCCTCAAAGTCGACGAGATTGTGCATGGTCACCTCGACGCCGTTCTCACACGCTGCGTCCCGCACGCGCAAAGCGATTGCCTCGCTGAAACCACCGCCGTGGAAGACGTTCAGGTGCGTGCTCTCTCTCCGCGACGCGAGCAGGGCCTCGTGCGGAAGCGCCATCCACACACCCCTGGCTGTACCTCTTGCTAGCGCATGCGGAAAAAAGAATTCCGTGTGCGCCCGGAAAGTGAGAAACGCCGGACAGCGTGGTGCACGATTTCAACCTCCCATACGTGTTTGTTTCGCTCCTTTCCTCGGGCTGTTCCATCCTCCTCACCTCCTTCCCAACTAGGCGGGGCGGGGGGGCGCGCGGGTGCGGGGTGCGGTGCGGTGTGGGTGTGTGCATGTCGTGCGGCTGCAGCAGATGACCGACGGTGACCGTGAGTATTGTTATTAACAACGAAGGCGCTCTCAAAAAGAAAACCAAACTCCCTCGCACAACACTGGGCACGGGACTGGCGCGCACTGGCACCGTGTTGTGCGGAAAAAAGAACATAAAGAGGAGAAAAGGCTTACAAAAGGGATTTGAAAAGCGGCTAGCGTCAGCTGTCTCGACTTATCCGAAGGGAACCCCACAGTATCACCTGGCTGACTCACCGGGTGACTCACCCGTGCATGGTGAGCGCCTCGTTCAGCGCCTGCAGGAAGAGCTCGTGCTGGAGCTGGCCGTCGAGCCGGCCGGCCTGCGCCCAGCCGTGCACCGGGTCGCCGACCGCCTCGCAGCCGCTCGCCTCGAGCAAGAGCTCGAGCGCCCAGCCCAGCTCGCGCGGCGCCTTAAGGTACGGCCGCAGGTGTGCCTAGCAGGCCCCAGGTGAGGTGAGGCACACACCTCTCCACACGCCAGTGTGGGGCAAGGGCCGGGCGGTCCCCCCGCCTCTCCACTCTCCCCAAAGCATTCATGACAGTGCCAAGAGTCGAGGCCCGGTGCTCAGGGGCGAGCGGTGTGGATGGACTGCGTGCCTACTCTGTCCACCGGCCGTCTTGCGATTTCAGGCCACAGTTGTGTGTGTGTGTGTGTGTGTGTGTGTGTGTGAGGACAGAGAATCGCCCCGTCACGCGCCTTGAGCCAGAGCTCGGGCCGGAGGTACCAGCCCTCGTCCCAACTGGGCGCCGGGGTGCGCACCACCAGAAAGGCGAGGTCGGCGCCCGCCTAATCTCGGGTGATGGGTGATCTCGGGATAATCCCGGGATGATCTCGGGTGCTCTCGGGATGATCTCGGGGTGATCTCGCCTTGAGCTCGACGCCCTCCCGCAGCGCGAGCCGCTCGGCGTCGAGCGAGAAGAGCCGCGTCTCGAAGTCGCCAAACTCGAGCTGCTCGTGCCCGCCGGCATAGTCGGTCGGCACGCACCCCTGCGTAAGGTAAGGTCAGGTAAGGTCCACTTCTCCACACACACTATCTCGGCAGAGTCTCGGAGCTATCTTGGGAGTGTGCGGCGGCGCCTCCGACACGCCGCTGTCGATCAGCAGCGCGCAACGCTGGTCGGAGCTGCGAAAGGCACTGACGGTGAGCCGCCACGGGCTCTCTCGTCGTGTGTTTCGCACCGCGAGCTCGCCTAGCCGACTTGCCACGGACGCGTCGCGACCGTGTCCTAGAGAGCCGCTGGGGCCCGCGCGCAGAACGCCCAAAGATATCAACCAGCGCCTCCTGGCTCCATCTCGGCTCCATCTAGGCCTCATCTGGGCTTCATCTGGGCTTCATCTCGGCTTCATCTCCATCTCGGCTCCATCTCGCCCAGGAAATCGACGAGCGCCTCCTGGCTCTCCAGCGCGGCCTCTGGCACGGCGCCGGCGGCCAGGTCGATGTGCGCGTGCACGTAGCGGTGCTCGCGGCCGAGCGCCGGGTAGGGCGTCGCCGAGAGCGGCTTGCAGACGTCGAGCAGCACCGCGTCGCCCGCACAGATCCGCACCAGGAACTGGTACTGCTCGAGCGGCGGAGGCCGTCTCCGCTGCGTCGGCCGCGCGAGGCGCGCGTAAACGCTCTGGAAGCTGGCGACCGCACTCAGCGACGCGGCCGCCGGGTAGTCGCGCCGGCAAAGCTCTCTCCACAGATGGTTCGAGCCAGCGGCGTCATTCCAGCGTCGACAGACTGCACCAGCGGCTAGCAAGCCCGTCGGCCCTCCAGTCCAGGACAGGGCCATTAGGACAAGGGCTAGCAGGTCGTCGTCGTCCAGCAGTAGTGTCAGCGTCAGCGGCGGGCTGTTCTGGTCGACAGACACCTCGTCCTCGATGTGATCACGGTCGGAACAGATCAGAGTATTACCCTCCTTATAAACCGCGCCCGAGGTGGACTCGCTGCTGCAGACGGGTGGCTGCAGGCTATAGGACGGCTTCTCACTGTCGGCTTCGGCTGTCTGATTGCCGACGAGCCACGGCGGCTTCTCGCTGTCGGAGCGAGCGGGCGGAATGTCAAAGACGCTGAAAGGATCTTGGGAGGACGACGCCGCCCGGTCAGCCATGTGTGGAAAAAAAGAAAAAAAATCTACCAACTCGCAGATTACTACACGGAGCTCGCGGGAGAGGTGACGAGTGAACTACAGGTAGTGGGGAAGGCAGCCTCGATTGCCATACAGACATGGGTGCGAAACAACGACAAGACCAAGGCACGGGCAGAGGAACGAGAGAAGAATATGTGTGTGTTTTTGGGGACGGCTCGATTGGACGGAGGGTGGACGCGTCCAGGGTTCGGCGCTGCAAAAGAGCGTGTCTCTCGTCACTAAGGGCACGGTGAACACTTGTGCCTACATTCATCCTTCCGTGGCGTTTATGTGCGGGTCGGGTCGGGTGGGGAAGGCGGACCGGCACTCGTGTGGATTCGAGCGCCGGTGCCGCCGGCGTGGCGCTAGCAGGGCGCTAGAGAGCCCGATCCATCTCTCGAGCTCCTCGCGCTGCCCAGGTGCCTTGGTCGTATCCATTTCTGGATGGCGATCGATTCTGCCTTCCCCGCTACCTACCTAGGGAAGAGATGATTTTCCTACCTACATGGAACATGTACAGAAAGAATAAATAAAACAGACAACCCAGGGCGGGATGGGAGGACGGCACGCCGCCACCACAGGGGGATTTTCATAAAGACCCCGTTTCTTTTTTCTTCTAGTGCGCGCGGACTGCTGCCGTGCATAACCTGCCGCGGTCCATGTGCCTGTCCTCCGGCTCCTCTGAGGGCTCCGGCTCCGGCTCCGACGAGCAGGGAGGCGGCTCCGACTCTGACTCCGAGGACATCAACGTCGACGAACAGGGCCGGCCCGCCATCGGCGGATCGATCGACCTCTCGACCCGGGTCTTTGACGGCGCGCTGCCCTCCGGCGCCGACCCCGGGCCGCTCATCGCCGACTGCGAGGCCGTCTTCACGGCGCGGGCGACCGGCGCGGGCGAGGGGCTCTCCTCCGGAGCCACTTTTTGGGTGGCGGCCAACGCGAAGCCGAAAACGGCGCTCGAGCGGCTCGCGTTGCAAATCTTTGCGCATCACGCGGCCGGCGCGGAGTACGACCCGTCGCGCTCGGGCGCCGAGTGGTGGACGGTCGTCATCGACGATACCGACGACGTTGGCCTGCACTGGGACCGCGACTACGACTTGCAGGCTCGCCATGCCGCCACGCCACAACTACCGCCACCACCACCACCGCCGCCGCCGCCGCCATCACCACCACCACCACTGGCGCCGTCTCACCACCGCCGCCACCGCCGCCGCCATCACCGCCGCGACGCGCCCACACAGGCCGACCAGGGGCTGCTGCTGCACCCGCACCTCGCCACCGTCACCTACCTCGCCTGCCCAGCGGCGGCGGCGCCGACGCTGGTGCTGGAGCGGCCGTCGCCGCTGCTCGCGACGGAGACCGCCCCACCGCCGTGCGGCGTGCGTCCACTGACACCTCCACGACACCTCCACGACACCTCCACGGTAGGAGCCGCTCTCCGGGCCCGTCCCCTCGGCGTGTGTCGTCCGGCCCACATTCGGCCGCCACCTGGTCTTTGACGGCAAGCTGCTGCACGGCGCCCTTTCGGACCTCGCCCTCCCGCCGCCGCGCGCGGGCGCGCCTGGCGGCGAGGGCAAGCGCGTCACCTTCCTGGTCAACGTGTGGCTCAACCACGCGCGTGGCGGCCGAGGTCGAGGCGCGTCCCCTGACGCGTCCCTGACACGTCCCTGACGCGTCCACAGGCGCCTTGGGGCGCCGAGCCGCTGGGCAAGAAGCTGGCGAAGAGGCTGGCGGCCCCCGCCTCGACCTCGCTCATCCTCCGGGAGGCGACCCTCTCGCGCGGCGCCGCCGTCGGGCCGGTGTGCGCCGCGGGCGGCGGCGGCGGCGGAAGAAGCGGACGCGGAAGCGGCGGCGGCGGCGGCGGCGGCGGCGGCGGCGGCGGCGGCGGCGCGCCGCCCACGCGCACCTTCACCTTTGGAGAGCGCGGCGCGAGGATGCAGCTCGCGCTGCCTTGGCCGACGGAGGCGGTCGCCGCCGCCGCCGCCGCGGACGGGTTTGCGCGGGTGGCCTTTTCGGACGGGGCGGGCGCGGTGCTGGCGCCGGCGCCCAAAGCGGCGGCGCGGGAGAGAGCCGGCGGCAAGCGCCGATCCCGCGACAAGGGCGGGGAGTCGCGGGCGGCAGCCGAGCCCGCGGCGAGGCGCGCGAGGGGACGGGACGCGGCGACGGCGAGGCGGTGACGCGTGGAGGTGTGCAGCGGAATGATGGGCGCCGGCAGATGGGCGAACCCATTTAATTCGAATTGAGTCCATTCTCGCCTGCGGGAAGCAGTGGGGGGTGCTTATTCTGCTCCTAGGGCGTAGGGGTTTACACTTTTTATTTAGCAGACCGCGCGGGCGGCGGCCGGACCGGGCGGCCTGGCTGGGCTGGGGCCTGTGCGCTGTGGCTGGGCGCGGGCTCCTGCAGTGGTGTGCAGACGGAGCCGAGTCCACAGAGACGCCGGACTCGTACGTTGGGTAGTAGTCTAAGTTCTGAGCCTCGAGGCTTGGCGGGTCTAAGTGTGCCTAGGCACGCTGGAGTGCTTACGCGGTCTAAGATCAGCGAGAGCCCTCTTACACGGGCTAAGAGTCTGCCGTGGCACGGCCTGGCTGCCACCGTGATCAACGATACGTGGCTGGGTTCACAGCCTTGTTATTGAGAAGAAAATACCTCCTGTGGCGCTGTGCGCTGGTCTGTGAGAGGTTGAGGTGCGAGCCCTGGAGGCCCTGGGGAATTCACAGCGATTGTAGGCAAGTGATACGAGCGTCATTTTGTACCCACCCCCCCTAGTTCGTGGGGACCCCCCCGCCGGTCGGTGGTCTGCCCCCGAGGTGGACCGGACCCCCCCTCCGGTCGGTCGCTCTCTCGGCGGCGGGAGGTGTGACGACCGACCCCCCCCTCGGTCGGTGTCCTTGCCGTGAGCCCCCTCAAACGCTCTCTCTCCCTCTCCTTCTCGCGAACCGCCACGGGCGCTTCGTAATCGCCGGTTTTAAAAACTAGTTACGAAGGTGGTACGCAGCCAAGCGCCAAGGAGACTTCTTCGCCGAGGCCCGAGCAAGCAAGCCCGACCCCACACATCTATGTGGAGCATCTACGCAGTCGCAGGCCTGGTCCTGCTTGCCGTCGCTTTGTACAAGCTCTGGCCGCGCTCAAGCGGCTCGTCAACGGGTACACAAACAGTGTGTCGCCGGCGAAGCTAATTAATCGTATGGACGACGACGACCAGAGCGTGGACATGGACAAGCTCGTGTTCCGACCCAATCCTGAGCGTCTCGGTCTCGAGCTCAGCCACTCGGACGACGAGGAGTGATTAGACGGGGAGAGGGCGCTTGGTCTCTTATTTCGAGATACTAATTTATTCACAGCTGCGGCGAGCAGCGTGTGCGGTGTGTTGGTTGTGACCCTCGAGCCAACCCGACCGACCCCCCCCTCGGTCTGCGCTAGCCCTGGCCGGTGCGCGTGCAGAGTTGAAGTTCCGGAGTGAAAATACGAACGCGTTCTCTCACGGTGACCAAAAAATGTCCACCTCAGAGGCACCTCCGGAGGCAGGCCGCCGCACGCCGGCGACACAGCTCCAGCTGTCGAACTGACCCGCAGCTCCTCTCAGAGCGGGAACTGTGACAAAAGTTGGCTGAGGCGGTTGTCAGGAATCATCATACGGATCACATGGTGGCTCTCTCATGACGGGAGACCGCCCGACCACTCCTGGGTGGCACTGCCACCGGTGTCGCTCGACGTCCTGTCGAGGACAGCGTGCCGACAGCGACACAGACCATGTGGGACGCGTCGAGTATCGACCTCTACTGCTTACCCAGCCTTCGAGTGTATCCTGGCTGTGGTCCCACACCCACTGGTGTCCATCTCAGAGACCGCAGGAGGTCATGAGGGTCGATGGGAGTGCCAACCCCACAATGCCTAAAAACCCAGCCCAGTACGGCGCGCAAGCGGGCGCCTACTAATCCGGATCGATCCCCTCCTCATGCTCAGCAATCGCCGCCTCAGCATCCTCCTCTTCCGATTCTTGTTGCTGCTTCTTGAGCGCAATCTTCAGCGATGTCTAGCCAAACAGTTCTCACAAATAGCCTCAAGCTCAAACAAACGCCCGTCAGAGAAGCCTGTGTGGCTGTGCATGCGCTGGTCCTCTTTGAACGATCCGCGCGTGAGGTAGCATAGGGCCTTGTTGGCAGCAGCCAGCTTGTTGCGCTGCTTCGTTGCGCTGAGCTGATGGGGATCGCAGAAGTGCATGCCAAGCACCGCCACGATCTTGAAGCAGAACACATCGCAACCGCCTGAGCCCTGGTCTGACAGCCTGACAGCAAACCCCGGACAGCGCCTGACAGTGCCCGACAGCCTGACAGATCACCTGACAGCACCTGACAGCCTGACAGCCAGGGCTCAGCGCAACCGCATTGTCCGCACTGGACTGCCATCGGCATGCCGCGCCCGCCGCTTCGCCGCAGCAGCCTTAAGACAGGCATTCCATAGCGGCAGCACATGGTACGGTGCGCGTATTGAGCAGGCGTTGCGCGCCGTGCCGCAAGTAGCGCACTGGCCCTGGGAGAAAGCCCTGGGGTGTCGACGGGCCCCCGGGGGCGACGGGGGTGCTCTTGGGGGGGGTCCCCCCAGTCAAGGGGGTCTGGGGCGCAGCCCCAGGAGGCCCGCCGCAGGCGCCGATCGTTTTAGGGGGCTTTTTTGACTGATTTTCATGAGGTGTTGCTACTATTTTGGGACCAGTTGAAGCCTAAAAATGGCTACAAATACAGCCACACCAGCTGCTAGTCGTGAGCTGTAGAGGGCTTTCAGGAGCACTATTCAGTTTGATCCAGCTCAACGTTGCGGAGTAGTAACACTGTTCCGTTACCGTGAGCGGCCGGCGGCTGGCGGCGGCCGGTGCGGCACGCGGAGCACTCCGTGAGCGGTGATGGGTGCGGACGAGCGAGTGAGAGGTTGAATAGAAAGAAAGAACGCCCCCTCTACTCGGAGCTAACTAACGGACACACGACACCGTACTCCACGCACGTACCACACGGGTACGCCTCATGTGGGCTCGCCCGGCCCCCGGCCTGTCCGAGGAGGCCACCGGCCAAAAGCGCATGTCTTGAAGGTCCGATACTGGAAGCCCATATAGGCACCTTACACGGCCGGCCCCAGTCCCAGAGTCCCGTCGGGGCGAGCCCTCGGCCCGATCTCCTGGTCCTGCGAGTCAGAAAGAAGTCTTTTTTTTGAGAGCGCCTATAATACAAGCCCATGGTCCCTGGTAGCAGTCACTCGCACACACACGCCGCACTGCACCGCGTGCCCGCCCACCGCCCCGCCCAGGCGGGAAAGAGATGAGGAATGCCGGCGCAGTCTTTTTTACAGTGCTCTGGCCTTCACCAGGAGTGCTGGTGGGAGGTTCAGGTGGAGGCGGTCAGCAGCAACACCGTCCACGTCCTGTGGGAGAGGAAACGCCGGCACGAGATTGGTGCTGCGGACGTTGCCACAAAGCTTCGGCGGCAGCCAGCTTGAGCCTCGTGCCGCACTCGGGCGTGTGTCCATTGTGTGGAGTATAAGAGGTGGAGCTGGCGAGCTTGGTCGGCGACGCACGCACGACGCACGTGCCACGGGGTGGTGATGACGGCGGCGGGGGTGAGAGGGGCGCCGGCACGAGGGGCGGTGGCGGTGGCGGTCGGTAGCGGCGAGCGAGGTAGCGCGGAGGTGCTGACCGTGGCGAAGCGAAGGCGGAGGTTGCGAGGCGAAAGTGCTGGCGGTGGTGAAGCGAAGGCGGAGGCGACAAGGCGGAGGCGGAGGAGGCGAGGGAAGGCGGAGGAGGCGAGGGTGGTGGCGGCGAGGGTGGCGGCAGCGACGGGCGTCGGGGGTTACAGCGAGGCGGTGAGGGCGGTAGCGGGGGACCGCCTCGAAGGTGTTGGGCGGCGGCGGCTCGTCTCGTTGAGGATGAGGCGCCAGAGAACCCGGCGGCCGACGCCACAGGCGAGGCCGACGACGCGGGCGGCGCCGTGATCGCCCCTCCCTACCTCCCTTCTTACCGCACACCCACCTGGCCCGCCATTCTCGCCTCCCTGCGGCGGCAGAGCACCCCCCCCCCCCCCCCCTCCTCCTCGCGTGGGGGGGGTGCGCGTTCCCAGGGACCGAAGAACTTGGAGCACTTGGAGTGCAGTCGGTAACCTCACATCCAGGGCCGGTGAGCTGAGAAGCGCATCCAGCGGGCCGGATGATCGGTATCGGGTTACGGGCTAGAGAGCCCTAGCCCCGGGGGTGCGCGTTCGCAGGGCAAGGGCTGTAAAGTAAACACGGGTCTCCGAGGGTTAGTCCGCGCTCCAGGTTTCCCCTAGCAGCGGAGCGCCCCCTCTACTCGGAGCTAATAAACACTAGACACGCACACGACGTACATCCTCACTCGATGTCACCCCTCGAGGCTTCTCCGTCCGGCCCCCCCCCCTCGGTCTGGAGGGGCCCTCTTATCCCCTCGGTCCTCCCCCCACTCGCTTTCCGCTGGTTGGGCAACGGATGCGGTGTCGTAATGTCCCGGGGATCGTTGCCCCGCCGCTACCAACTGTGAAGGTCTTCAGTGACCACTCACAAGCTGTTCCAAGGCCCGACAGAAATGTACTGTCAAAACTTTGTTCAAACAAAAGTCCTGGCCCGCGGCCCCCACACCCACAATGACTATCAATCCAGGCTGCGGGTGAAGGGCAAAACCGCGCCGCTGCAGAACGGTTTTTGCAAAACCGCGCCGCAGCGGTACGAAACTGCGCAGATGCAGTCCAGGGGTGGTAAGGACACTATGTGTGTGTGTGTGGCCGTAGACTAGACGGCTGCGCGGTCGTCGGTCTTCAACAGTTTCAGCTGAAGCTGCCCCGTGCGCCGCCGCGAGCACCGCGTAGTGGTCTCGCCCTCTGGAGAGCCCCAGCACGACCCCTCGCGGCCACTCGCGCCGTTGCAGCAGCTCCGACCCCGCCACTCCGGCTCCCGAGCGCGCGGCGAGCACGAGGAAGAGCATGCGCATGGGCCGCCTCGTCTTTTCTGGTCTCTGTTTTCAAAGCGTCTTTTTTGCCGTGCTCTGGCTGGCGCTTCCCCAATCGCAGGGCTGGCTCCTCTGAGAGCCCCCCGCCCGCCGATGGGCGAGGTACTGGGCTACGGCTCGGTTGTGTTCGCGCAGATCCGGTGGCTCATCTCCAACCTCAACCGCAAGAACCAGAAGGCCACCGTCTCAGAGCTGCACAATCTTCTCGGCGCGTACGGCGAGTCAGCGTTTGCCTTCACCGTGCGCTGCCTGGTGGAGGAGGTGGACTTTCGCGCCGCCGCGCAGGCGGCGCTCAAGGTCCAGCTGCTCGCGCAAGAGTTCGCCAAGCTCGTCACGCGGCCCAACGCCACGTCCCTCATCGGCGACGCGATTGGCGGCGCCTCTCTGGCCGCGGCCGCACCCCTCACTGAGGAGTGGCTCGCCCTCTTCGCCAAGGCGGTACGCGCGACGGTGGCGCAGCAGCTGGCGCTGGGGCTCGCCATCGCGCAGCTCTCCGACGAGGAGAAGGCCGCCGAGGGCGACAAGTTCCTGCGCGCGCGCCTGGCGGAGCTCACCCGCGCCGCGGCCGGCGCGCTGCCCGACGCGCTCGCGCACGCGCTGCTCTACTTCCTCGGCGACCCGGCGGACAAGGCGCGCGCGGCGCTGGTCAGGCTCCTCCAGGCCGTGCACCCCGAGGAGAACGCGCCGCTGACGCTGCTGCCGCTGCTCTACAGCGGCGTGGGCGGCGAGCAGGCGGCGGCGGCGGCAGACCCTTCCGACTTGGACTCGCGGCTGTCCTACCAGGACGGGCGCGGGCCGCCGCCGTCCGACGCGGTGCCGGCGCTGGCGGCGGACGCGACCGAGCTCGCCGAGCTGATGCGCGATTTGGGCTACTCGTGCTGCGCCTCGCGCGCCGCCGTCGTCGAGCTCGTCTCGCAGCTGACGGGCGCGGACGGCGCGCTGCCCGGCGCAGAGGGGTCTGTCGCGGCGGCCATCTGCATGATGGCGTCGACGGCGGCGTCGCTCGACGACTCGCTCTCGCTGCACGGCCCCTTCTCCACAGCCGTCTCGGGCAAGTACCTCGAGTTCGACGCCAAGTTCGACGAGGACAGCGCCGCCGACGCGCAGGCGCTCACGGCGTGGGGCGTCGAGGCGTTTGTCGGCGGCGTTAGCGAGGCACTGCCGTCGCTGCGGTGGGGCGGCGTCTTCGAGGCGCTCGACCAGCCGACGTGGGCCGCCAATGGGCCCGGCGCGGACGGCTTCGCGCTGCTCGTCGCGCTGCACCGCCGCGCGTGCAGCGGACCGCTCCCCGCCGGAGCGCTGCTCGGCGGCTGGACGCACTCGGGCGCGCAGCTGCGGCTGCTCGCGCACGCGGTCGGCGCGGCCGCCGACGCGGTCGCGTGGGGCGACGCCGCCGCGCCGCTGGTCTCGCCCGCGCCCGACGGGACGAGCAAGCCCGGCATCGCGCCGTGGCTCTCGCTCCGGCTGACCGAGTCGCTGCTCCACCTCTCGGCGTCCGGCTACCACGCCGAGGCGCGCGCGCTCTTCGCGGCGCCGCTCTCCGCGGCGCCGCAGCTGCTGCTCGCGGCGCTGCTGACGCACAGCGGCGCGCGCGCGGGCGCGGCGGACGAGGCGCCGCTGCAGCGGGAGCTGCTCGACGGCCTCTTCCCGCTCTTCCTCGGCGGCGACTCGCCCGGGTCGGCCGCGCTGCTGCAGCGGCTGTGGGAGGCGCAACCATACGCGGTGATGCGCGGGATGGCGGCGCTGCACCGCGCGCAGCCGCAGTCCATCCTGCGGCTGCTCGACCTGGCGACGTCCTTCAACGCGCTCGAGAAGGTTCTCACGCTCGGCGCATACTCGTTCACCATCGACCTCGCCGCGTGCGCGCAGCGCAAGGAGCTCATCGACTTCGAGCCGTGGCTGCACTCGTGCCTGCGCCGCGACCCGGAGCACGCCTTTGTGCGCGCCTGCGCGTCGTACCTTCGCGAGAAGCTGCTGCCCGGCTCGGCGACGAACCTCGCGCGCGCGGCGGCCACGTCCAATGTGAACGTCCTCTCCGTCGATGCCGCCGCCATCATCTTCCGCGTCCTCACTTCGCTGACGCCGACGCTGCCGCCCACGCTCGCCGCCGACCTGCACGACTTGCACACGCAGTGCGTGCACGCAAAGCCAAAGCTAGGCGCGCTCCTGGCGGGCAGCGGCGGCGCCGCCGCATCTGCGTCCGACAGCAAGCCGCCGGGGATCGGCCTCGGCGCGGCCAACCCCGCCGCGCCCTCTGCGGCCGCTGACGGCGCGGCCGAGAACGGTGCGCCGGCGAGCGAGGCGACCGTGACGCTCAGCCTCGCTTACGAGTCCGCCGTCGCGTCGCGCGCCGCGTTTGACGCCGCCTTCCGGCAGGACGTGGCGGCGTCGCTCGGCGTGGGCGAGAGCGCGGTCGCCGTCATCGCCGTCTCGGCCGGTTCCACCGTCGTCGACTTCAGCGCCGCCGGCGCCGGCGACGTGGCGGGCAGGCTGCGCGACAGCGGCTTCACGACGCCGCATCTCACCCGCTTCAACGGCGGCGCGCCCGTCGCCGCCACGGCGATCACGAGCCGCGGCGCCGGCGGCGCGCCGTCGGCCGCGGCGCCCGCCCCCGCCGACGCGGGATCGCTCGACTTCGGGCCGGGCATGTCGCTGCCGGCGGGGCTGACGGACGAGCCCGCCGCGGGCGCGCCCGCGGGCGGCGCCGCTGCGGGCGCGCCGCTCCCCGGCATGCCGGGCGGCGAGGCGACGAGCTTCCCGCCCGAGATCGAGGAGATTGCAAACTCTTACTTCCAAAAGATCTACTCGGACGCCGCCTCGATCGACGAGATCATCGGCGTGCTCAAGGCCTTCCAGGCGGCGCCCGCGCAGTCGCGCGAGCAAAAGGTGTACGTGTGCATGGTGCACAACCTGTTTGACGAGTACAAGTACTTCCCAAAGTACCCGGACAAGCCGCTCCGCACCACGGCGGTGCTCTTCGGCGCCCTCGTGCAGCACGGCCTCGTCTCGCACATCACGCTCGGCCTCTTCTTGCGCTACGTGCTCGAGGCGCTCAAGAAGCCGCCGCTCTCAAAGATGTCCAAGTTTGGCATCACCGCGCTCGAGCAGTTCAAGCCGCGCCTCGCCGAGTGGCCGCAGTACTGCCAGCTCCTCCTCGCCATCCCGCAGCTGCCGCAACTCGCCCCCGAGCTGCCTCTCTTCCTCGAGGCGCAGCTCGCCGCCACCGGCGCCGTGGCGAGCGCGCCGCCGCCGCTCGCCGACCCCTCGCCCGCCGCTGCGCTCGGCACGCCTGTCGACGTGTCGGGCCCGCCCGTGGCCGAGGTCGCGCCCGCGCCCGGCGCGCTCGCCGGCCTCGCCGGCGCGCTCGGGCTCGGCGCCGCCCCCGCCGCGTCCGCGCCGGCGTCGGCGCTCCCCGCCGCGCTGCAGCCCGGCGCGGGCGCTGCGGCGCCGCAGTCGGCGCTGCAGGTCAACAGCCCCGTCTTCGGGCCCGCGTCGGGGACCCCGCCCGCCCCGGCGGCGGCGGCGGCGGCGGAGCTTCCGGCGGTATCGATGGGATCGCTAGGCGTCGGCGGCTTCGGGCGCGAGGGCTGCATCGAGACGCTCATGTCCTCGACCAGCTCAGCAGAGGTTGCGCCTCCGCCGGACGCGGTGCAGGACCGGATCGGCTTCGTGCTCAACAACATGGGGCAGGGCAACCTGCCCGCAAAGGCGGCGGAGCTGATGGAGGCGATCGAGTCGCACGACAGCTCCGTGCCGTGGTTCGCAAACTACCTCGTCGTGCGGCGGGTGGCGCTCGAGCCAAACTTCCACACTTTGTACGCCGCGATGCTGCACGAGCTGTCGTTGCCGCCGCTCTACCGCGCCATCCTCGAGGCGACGCTGCAGAACGCGCGCGTGCTGCTCTCGTCGCAGAAGATCCGCTCGAGCTCGTCCGAGCGCTCCCTGCTCAAGAACCTCGGTTCGTGGCTCGGCTCCATCACGCTCGGCCGCAACAAGCCGCTGCTGATGAAGGACATCGACCTGAAGGAGCTCGTCTGCGACGCATACGAGAATGGGCGGCTGATCGCGGTGGTCCCTTTCGTCGCCAAGGTGCTCGACGCGTGCTCCACGTCGCGCGTCTTCCTGCCGCCCAACCCGTGGGTCATGGCGCTCATGTCGCTGCTCATGGAGCTCTACCAGGCGCGAGACACCGCCGGAGACACCTCCTCTCGACACCTTCTCGCACGCCGCAGGGGCAGGGCCTCAGCCTCAACACACAGCACACTCGCGGGCCGTCTCGAGCGCACCTCGCGACAGATACAGGCGCCCGCCCGCCGACCCGCTGCGCCGCCAATGGCAGGTGCCCGACCTCAAGCTCAATCTCAAGTTCGAGATCGAGGTGCTCGCGAAGACGCTAAAGGTCGAGCTCGCCGACATCTCGCCGACGCGCACGCTCTGCCACCGGCAGCAGGACCGCGCGCAGACTTGCGACTTTGCCAACCGCGCCGGCCCCGCCGCGCTCAACGCCCCGGGCGGCGGCGGCTTCGGCGGCTTCTCCGGCTCGGCGCCCGCCTTCTCGCTGCCCGGCACGGACGGCCCCCTCCCGTCGGCGCCCGCCGCGTTTGGCTCGCAGCTGCAGCCGCAGGGGCTGCAGCAGCCGCCGCCGCCGCCGCCGCCGCAGCCCGGCATGGGCGGCTTCGGCGCAGCGCCATCGGCGGCCGCGCAGTACAGCGGCCCGCCCGGCTTCTTCCAGCAGCAGCAAGCGCAGCAGCAGGCGCAGCAGGCGCAGCAGCAGGCGCAGGCGCAGCAGCAGCAGGCGGCTGCCGGGGTGGCTGCGGCTAATAATCTTGGCTCATCCATCTGACTCACCAGCTCACCCATAGGCGCAGCAGCAGGCCGCGGCCCAGGCGGCCCAGCAGCAGGCGCAGCAGCAGCAGCAAGCTCAGGCGCAGCAGCAGCAGCAGCAAGCGCTCGGTGCGCAGGGAGGCGGCGCCGCGGCGCTCGCGGCGCTCGGTGCGGCGGCTGACGCGGACACCGTCATTCCGAATTTGGCGTCCTACGTGCAGATCAACCCCGCGCTCTTCTCGCAGCAGCCGCAGCTCAAGCGGGTGGTGCCGCTCGCTCTCGACCGCGCTATCCGCGAGATCATTTCGCCCGTCGTCGAGCGTTCCGTCACCATTTCGTGCGTGACGACGCGCGAGCTGATGCTCAAGGACTTTGCGATGGAGCCCGACGAGATGCGGATGCGCAAGGCGGCGCAGCTGATGGTGTCCAACCTGGCGGGCTCGCTCGCCCTCGTCACGTGCAAGGAACCGTTGCGCGTCGCTTGCTCCAACCACATGCGCGCATTGCTGCAGCAGGCGGGCTCTCTGGACGTGCAGCTGATGGAGCAGCTGGTGCAGGTCTGCTCGTCGGACAATCTCGACCTCGGCTGCACGCTGATCGAGAAGGCGGCGACCGAAAAGGCGGTGCGCGACGTCGAGGAGGCCCTCGCGCCCGCCTTCGCCATCCGGCGCAAGCACCGCGAGCAGACCGGCCTGCCCTACTACGACATGTCCATTTTCACGTCGGGCCGCTACCCGACCGGGCTGCCCGAGGCGCTCCGCCCAAAGCCGGGCGGGCTCCTGCCGACGCAGCGGCGCGTCTACGAGGACTTTGGGCGCATCCCGCGCGGCGTGGCGGCGGCGGCGCCCCCGCCGCAGCAGCAGGCGGGCATCCCCGGCATCGGAGCGGCGGCCACCGGGCCCGCGCAGCCACCGCAGCCGCCGCAGCCGCCGCAGGGCGCCGCCGGCCAGTTTGGCGGGCTGGGCGGGCTGAGCGGTGACGGCGGCGGCGGCGGCAGCGGCGGCGCGCTCGCGCTCGGCCGCGCGCCGCAGGCCAGTGGCGCCGGCTCGCTGCCCGGTCTCGGCAGCGCGGCCGCCGGCATGCCGCCCGGTTTCCCCGCCGCCGGCGCGCAGCACGGGGTGGGCATGCTTCCGGGCAGCGCGCCGGCGCAGGCGGGCGGCGGCGTCGGCGGCGCGGCGAGCGGCGCGCTTTCGCAGGCCGAGGCGCTCGAGCGGCTCTCGCTCATTCTGGCGCAGCTCGACTTGCACGTCAGCCAGCTGGCACCGCAGGGCGTCGGGATGGGGGCGCTGCCCGCCAGCCATGAGGTGCTCTCGCCCGCCGCCCGCTTGGCATGAGCCCACACACCTTTCCTAGCCCGCCCCGCCCTCCCACACCGCCCCCCGTCAAACAGGTGCACGCGCTGCTCGCGCGGGTGGCCGAGTGCGTCACGTATTGTGCCTCTCGCGACGAGGTTGCCCTCGCGATGGCGGGCAACGTCTTCAAGCGCATGTACGAGCAGGCGGCCAACGCGGGCGCCGCGGCGCGGCTCGCCACGCAGATCAACGTGTCGGTGCTCGCGCGCGTCGGCTCCGCCTGCAAAAAGGTGTCCGCCTTTGTGGCTGACATGCTCCTGTACGCCGGCGACGACGAGCGCAAGCTACATGAGGAGATCGTGCTCTCGCTCCTCCTCGCGCAGGTGGTCGCGATGACCACCCTCTCGCCGCGCCTCGCCAAGCACCTCACCACCTCGCGCTCGCCGCACGCGGTCGCCTTCAGCGCGTGGCTGGTGCGGCGCACGATGCTCGACGAGCCGCTCGTCGCGGCGACCGACGCCAAGGAGCTGTTGGGCGCGCTCGCCGCCCTCGCGCAGCAGCCGAACCCGCCCGAGGGCCTGCTGCGCCTGCTCGATGACCTCCGCACCGCGCTCGCGCAAGGCGGCGCGCAGGGCGGGCGGCTGCCCAAGCCGCCGCCGCCCGCCGCCGCCGCCGCCGCGCCCGCCGCCGCCGCGCCGCCGCCCGCCGCGGCAGCGGCCGCTCCGCGCCGGCTTCCCCCCGCGGAGCCACCGGACGCCGCGCTCTCACACGCGCGCGAGCAGCTCGCGCCGCTCTGGGCAGAGTGGCTCTCGCTGTGCGGCCAGCAGGGCGCCAACGAGCGCGGCTTCGTCTCGCAGCTGCAGGCGGCGGGCTGGCTGCGGCAGGACGAGCAGGTGCAGCGCGTGGCGTGTCCAGGACACGCCCATGACATGTCTGAGACATGTCCGAGACATGTCCATAGGGGGAGCGTTTCCTGCGTGTGACGACGGAGCTCGCGATCGCCGCCGCGCACGCCGACGGCTCGGCCGACGGCGGCACGCGGTTGCCGCTCGCGTTCGGGCCACTCGACGCCTACTCGAAGTTGGTCGTGCTCATCCTCAAGTCGCTGACGCCCGAGCCGACGCCGTCGGGCGCGCGCGACACGACCCCCGCGGCGACGGCTGCCACGGCGCGCGCGCAGCTGGCGGCGCTCGTGCGCGTGCTCTCCGCTGTCGTCGCGCACCTCGCACGCTCGCACGCGCACCACGCTTGCGGCGCGCGCCAGCACGAGCCGCGAGCAGGCTTGCTGACTTCATTCGTGGATGACTCGGTGTGCGTCCGTCTAGGTGCCCACCATCACGAGCCTCCGCCCGGCGCTCCGCCGACGCCGCCCTTCAACCAGCGCGCGTACTTGCGCCTCTTTGGCAACTGGCTGCTTGAGCTGGCGGCGCCCGACCCGGCGCTCGACACGCTTCAGCCACAAATGCTCTACGCTTTCGCCGCCGCCTTCGAGGCGCTCCGCCCGTCCCGCGTCCCCGGTTTCGCTTTTGCGTGGCTCGAGCTCGTCTCGCACCGCTCCTTCATGCCAAAGCTGCTGCTCGCGCCGGGGCGCAAGGGGTGGCCGCGGCTGCAGAAGCTGCTCGGGCACCTCTTCTCCTTCCTCTACCCCAACCTCACCGCGCCGCGCCTCTCCCCGCCCACGAAGCACTTGTACCGCGGCGCGTTGCGCGTGCTGCTCGTGCTGCTGTGAGCAGCTTTCCCGGGGCTCAACGCGCACGCGCGTGAGCGAAACTTCACGCCTCTCGCGGTGAATAGGCACGATTTCCCCGAGTTTCTGTGCGACTACCACCTCGCGTTGTGCGACGCCATCCCGCACACTTGCGTGCAGTTGCGCAACCTCGTCCTGTCCGCCTTCCCGCGCCACATGATGCTGCCTGACCCCTTCACGCCCAACCTCAAGGTCGACCTCCTCCCCGAGTCGTCGCAGCCGCCCACCGTCCTCTCGCCCTACACGGCCGCCCTCTCCGCCGCCGGCATCCTCGAGCCGCTCGACGCTTTCCTCAAGGGGCGCGGGCCGCGATCGCTGCTGCAGGACTTGCGTCAGCGCCTTGTCGGGCCGGACGGCGCCCACCGCGTCGCCGCGATCCACGCGCTCGTGCTGCGCGTCGGCGTGCACGCCATCTCGCATGGGCTCGCCGCGCCGTCGTCGCTCGCTCATTCGGCACCGATGGAGGCGCCCGCCGCGCCGCTTTTTCCACCACCCCCCAGCCCCCCCCCTTCCCCCTTTCCATTCCGCCCCTCCCCGCCCGCCTGGCCCCCTGGACCCCCCCCCCCCCCCTTCTCTCTCAACAGGTGCTCTCGTTCCTGGCGGGCGAGCTCGGCCCTGAGGGGCGGTACTTGCTCCTCAACGGGTTGGCCAACCAGCTGCGCTACCCGAACAACCACACGCACTACTTCTCGTGCGTCCTCCTCTACCTGTTCTCGGAGGCGCGCGACGAGCCGCTGCAGGAGCAGATCACGCGCGTCCTCGTTGAGCGGCTGATCGTGCACCGGCCGCACCCGTGGGGGCTGCTCATCACCTTCATCGAGCTCATCAAGAACCCGCGGTACGAGTTTTGGGCAAAGAACTTTACGCGCTGCGCTCCCGAGATCGAGCGGCTCTTCGAGTCGGTCGCGCGCTCGTGCATGGCGGGCGCGGCGCCCACCCCGGGCGGCTCGTCCGAGGCGGTGGCCTAGCTGCCGTCGCCTCGCAGGCTGGGGGGGGGGGGGGGTTGGTTCATGGGGGGGTCTCATGTGTCGCGCCGCTGCCCTACGTGTCGCACAGCGCGCCGATGAGCGGTGAGGAGAGCGGTGACGGGAGCGTCCGCCACGCCCACGGCCGGGTTTTGCTTTGGGGCGTGTTGAGCGTTAAGGTATAACTATGTATGTCTAGAAAGGAGAGCGCAAAGCTTTATTCGTCAGGGAGACAGGGGGACAGGAAAGGAATCGGAATTCGGAAACCGCGAATCGCGCGGGTAAGAACGGAATCCGGTGGCCGGTGGATTTTATTGCGGACACAAGTCACACACACACAGGTCATTGCAAAATAAATCCGCTCTCAGAATAAGCGAGCGGTGTATCGGCGATGTGCCAAAGTCAGCGTTGCAGAGCGGCGAGAAGCGATGGGCGCCCCTCTAAACGCCCATAGAGCCACGCCTCGCTCGCCCGAGCCGCTCCGACTGGAGGGCGCTGCGCTCGCCCGGCATCGAGCCGGTGCACCACCCGCCCCCAAACGCGGTCCCGGACCCCCCTCGTCGCCAGCGGCAGCCGCTGGCTCGACGAGCAGCACCCTCTCGGCCGCCGCCTTGGCCCGGCCGCCGCTGTCGCGGCTATCGGGCTCTAGGTCGACGAAACGCTCGCTCGCGCTTCAGACAACCTCCCCCCCTCTGACGATAGGTGTCTGCGCCGCGCGCTCACCGGCAAAGAAGCACACGGCGGGCGATGGCGGCGCGCGGTGACGCTTATGACTCAATGGAAGGTCGCCCACATACGGCTCTACCTTCCATCACCACAACGCCGTAGGCGGGTCGAGACTGCCCCTCCACCCGCTCGCGCTTGCCTCCCCTACCCGACCGGGTCGGCTTCCTCTAGATGGCGGCAGATACACCTTCACTGCGGCCCTTCTGCCCGCGACACGGCGGCGCCTGAGGGTGTGGGCTGCATGGCCTCTCGAGGCGGCCCTAAAAGGAAGGCGTAAAATATTGATTCTCGCCCCTCTAACTATTGATATTGATTATTGACAGCATCCCCTCTAACTATTGACAAAATATATTGACATATTGATCGCTGATTTTAACCTCCAAAAGCACCAATGTCGACATTTGTCCCAAACATTGCCTAGATGTGGGCTGAAATCAAAAAAATCAAGAGTTCAAAGCGATTTTTATGCGATTTAAGCGATTTTGAAGCGATTTTGGCCCCGTTTTCAACGATTTAGAGCCACTTTCAAGCCCAGGATGGACCCACCTGACGGTCCTGACCAGCCCAGGCCCAGCCTCTCCTCTAACTATTGACATATATATATTGATATTGATCGCCTCTCTAAAAAAAAAATTGCTAACGCGAAAAACCGGCACACCAATCTCCCTTCCTCTCCCTATCCTTTCTTGGAGCTCTAGAGTCCACACCCCCCTGCCCCGGGATCGCGTACAAGCTGAGGCTACCGTAGGCCACACTAGCGTCGCTGGGGGTTCCCTGCCCTAGATGGGAAGCTGGCCGCTGATCCGAAGACCGACTGCACCAGGGCGCCTAGATATACTCAAGGTGAGCGAGGGTGAAGTTACGCCTTAAATGCCTGTCTCTCTACTGTGGACCTTACTCCGAGCTCGACGGCTCCTCCTATTCCCCCACCCCCCCTCCCCCCCCACTCTCTCCGAGTAAGGGCGTGCGCTACGTCCCCAAGGGGGGGGGGACGTGGGGGGGAGGTGTGACTTTTAGGTTGTAGCGTTTGGGTTTTTGTAGGGCACCCAAACGGTTTTGGTTTTCCTCCTTGGTGCCCCGAGTAGAGCGCGATCTCCCCTGGAGTCTGTCGCGCCCGTTCTGTCTAAGCTCGAGGTTCAACCTTCCAGTTGATCCTTATCGGACTGGTGAGGTCTGCCTAGCCGTCGTAGTGTAGTGCCTGGGGTGCGTCTGCGTCGGTGCTACACACACTCGGCAGGACGCTGCTGTAAATCGTTGCTGCTGGTCGTCGCTGCGTTTGTTAAACGATTTTCGCCATGGTGTTTTTTCTTTTTATGCTTGGCAGTAAAAAGAAACGGAGACGTGTGCGGCAGGCGCGGGCTCGGTCGATATCCCATACTTCGACTCACATCTTCACTGCTGCGGTGTGTGCCCGGGGAGGCGCGGCGGCGGGGTGGATTGAGAAGGTCTCAGAATGCAGAGAAGCTGCAGGCGTGCAGAGGCGCGCGCTGCAGTTTCTCTGATCGGGCTGCTGGCGGTGTGCGCGAGACGGCGTGGTGAGGCGTGAGGCAGGCTATTGTAGTGGGGTGCGGGCTGCGTCTAAGCGTATGCGTGCACATGGTGCTGTATGCTGTGTGTGCAGGCAGGCTGACAGGCTGTGCATAGCAGACTGGGCGGATGAGCGAGCGCGCGTGCGGGCGTGCGTGCGCGCCTGGGCCTGCGCGGTGCCGTCGCACTCGCGGCGCGTCCTAGTACAGCCGCTTGTGGGATGCCAGAAGCAGTCTGCAGAGCCTGCACAGGGCGCAAAAAGGCGCAGGTGTGCTGGTGAGGTGTGCTGCGGCGCGCGCGTCGCGGCGTGAGTGGATATGCGGCTGACTCTGGTAGTGCGAGGGGCGCGCAGCTGGTGCGGGCGGCGCGGGACGGCCATGGGGCGCCAGCACAGGGCAGACGCACATGGCACAGCTCTGAAATGGCGCTGCGCGTGTTTGCGTGCGCGCGGGGACGTACGCGCAGTTTTCACGCGGTGTGCGTGGAGAAGGGCATGAGAGGCGCCGGCCGCGCGTGTGTTGTCGTGTGGGAGTTCGGAGTATGCCCGGAGGGCGGGGTGGTTTAGGGCGACTAGACTTCGCCGGAGGCCCCAGATATGAAGAAAAGTCTTGATAGCCTCTCTAACTATTGGAGCAATATGTTCAATATTTTACGCCTTCCTTAGCGCGGCCCGCGGGGGCGCCGGGGCCGCGGAGCGGCGCGGAGAGCTCTCCTGAAAAGTGGCGCATGATTTTTTATTGGGGGTTTTCTTTCTTTTTTCTGCGAGATGGCTCCCTCTCGCGCGAACTCGTCGCGGGCCACAGCGTCCGAGCGCCTCGTGTTGATCCGTCTGTTCTCGACTGCCGTGTGCGTTATCGTGGGGCTCGGGTTGTGTCTTTGCGGGAACAATGGCGATACAAGCACTGCGAATGCAGCGGAGCGCGCCTCAGTGCGTGTCCTCTCGAGCGCTACGGAACAGGCTGATCTGTGTTCCGCATCTAGGCAGACGATCTCGTCCGCGAGAGCGCTCGGCCCGCCGGTGCGCGCCGCCTCGAGGAGCACGTCCGGAGTGCGTGTTGCGACGGCGGCGACGGCCGTGGCGGCGCCCACGGCGCCGGCAGTGATGCCTCCGAGGATTGCGCTCACCGCCGTTCGTGGGCCGATCGCCGACGTCAGGAAGAGCGAGACGCCCGACGCACCCAGCGTGACGGCTGCCGTCTTGCCGTAGAGGCCGGCGAGGAGGGAGCGGTCCCGCTCGCTCAGCCGCTCGTGGATCGCTCGGATCTCGGCCGGACTGGCGGCCGAGAGGCGCGAGATCGTCGCCATCGACCGATCCATGCAGTCCCGCAGGATCCGCCGCGGGTCCGGGGCGTCTGGGTCAAGCATGGCCGCGCGACGCGCAATTTCTTCTTTTGCCAGCAGGGTTCACGACATTGG